TTAAAGCTCTTCAGTGGCCATCTAAGGTGCCTCTGTGTGTGAAAGAAAGAAGGGTGTTTTTGTTGTTAGGTGCCATCTAGTCAGTACCGACTCATAACGACCCTATGCACAACAGAATGAAACACTGCCTGGTCCTGTGCCAACCTCACAATAATTGCTATTTATGAGCCTGTTGCTGCTACCACTGTGCCAATCCTTCTAGTTGAGGGTCTGCCTCTTTTTTGCTGACACTCCAATTTAGCAAACATGATATCTTTTCCAGGAACTGGTCCTTCCTTGTAATATGTCTGAAGTATGACAGACAAAGTCTAACCATCCTGGCTTCCAAGGAGCACTCTGGCTATACTTCTTCCAACACAGATTGGTTTGTTCTTTTAGCAGCCTGTGATATATTTAATATTCTTCTCCAACACCATAACTCAAATGCATCTATTCTTCTACAGTCTTCCTTATTCACTATCCAACTTTCACATGCCTATGAGGTTATTGAAAATGCCATGGCTTGGGTCAAGCACACCTTAGTCCTCAAACTGACATCTTTGCTCTTCAACACTTTAAAGAGGTTTTGTGCAGCAGACTTACCTAATGCAATACGGTATTTGATTTCTTGACTACTGTTTCCATGAGTGTTGATGATTGATCCAAACAAAATGAAGTCATTTCTCCATTTATATGGATGTTGTTTATTAGTCCAGTGATGAGGATTTTTTATTTCTTTAAACTGAGGTGCAACCCATACTGAAGACAGTGGTCATTGATCTTTATCAATAAGTGTTTTAAGTCCTCTTCATTTTCAGCAAGCAAGAGTGTATCATCCACGTATCTCAGGTTGTTAATGAATCTTCCTCCAATCCTGATGTTACATTTTTCTTCATATAATCTAGCTTCTCAGATTATTTGTCCAGCATACAGACTGAATAAGTATTATGAAAGAATTCAACCCTAGCACACACCTTTCCTAATTTTAAACCATTTATCCTTCCCTTGTTCTGTTCCAACAGCTGCCTCTTGGAATACGTACAGGTTCCTCATGAGCACAATTAAGTGTTCTGGAATACTCATTCTCCACAAAGTTGCCCATAGCTTGTCATGACCCACACAATCAAAAGATTTTGCATAGTCAATAAAACACAGGCATTCTCTGCTTTCAGCCAAGACCCATCTGACGTCAGCAATGATATCCCTCAATCCACATCATCTTCTGAAATCAGCTTGAACCTCTCTACAAGTTCTCTGTCAAAATATTGCTGCAGCCATTTTTTTATTATCTTTAGCAAAATTTTACTTGTATGTGATATTAATGATATTATCCAAAGATTTCCACATTCTGTTGGGTCACTTCTCTTTGGAATAGGCACAAATATGAATCTCTTCCAGCCAGTTGGCCAGGTAGTTTCTTCTAAATTTCTTTAGTGTAGGATTTGTTGAATGTAAAACTGATGATCTTCTCTGTAAAGCTTCACTCACAATTCACAATAAAAAGTTTGGTGTTTTTTGTTTTTTGTTTTTTAATCAGGAAAGGTGTGCATCAGGGTTATTTCCTTTTATCATATTTATTTAATACTATGCTGAGCAAATTATCTGACAAGCTGGACTATTTGAATAAATATGTTACATCAGGATTGAAAGAAGACTCACAAACAGCCTTCAATATGCAGATAACACAACCTTGCTTGCTGAGTAAATAATCCGAGAAGCTGGGTGATATGAAGAAAAACGTGGCATCAGAAGACTCATTAACAACCTGCGATATGCAGATTATACATATGAAAATGAAGAGGACTTAAAACATTTGCTGATGAAAATTAAAGAGCCCAGCCTTCAGTATGGATTACATCTCAATGTCAAGAAAACAAAAATCCTCACCACTTATCAATGGAGAAAAGATTGAAGTTGTTGAGGACTTCATTCTTCTTGGATCAACTATGAACACTCATGGAAGCAGCAGTCAAGAAATAAAACGGCATATTGCATTGGGCAAATCTGCTCCACAAGACCTTTTTAAAGTGTTGAAGAGCAAAGATGTCAGCTTGAGGACTAAGGTGTGCCTGACCCAAGCCATGGTATTTTCAATAACCTCATATGCATGCGAAAGCTGGACAGTGAATAAGGAAGACCGTAGAAGAATTGATGCTTTTGAGTTATGGTGTTGGAGGAGAATATTGAAAGTGCCATGGGCTGCCAAAAGAACCAATAGATCTGTTTGGAAAGAAGTGCAGCCAGAGTGCTCCTTGGAGGTCAAGATAGACAAACTTCATCTCTCATACTTCGGATCTTGCCCCTGAAGACATCTTTCTGTTCCCCAAACTCAAAGAACATTTAAAAGGAACATGCTTTGAGTCTCTTGCAGATGCCAAAACTTCCGCTTACACATGTGTCTATCAAAAAGTGCAGAATTCTTTGGGGAAGGGTTATAAAGGTATAAACACCACCTTCAGAAGTGTAGATGGAAGCTATGTCAAGAAACAGTAGTTTCACATTGGACATTTTTGTTTAATAAAGGGGTCTCTGGTTTTGTAGCATTACTTTTTTACTTACCCTCGTATGTCAAAGCCTGATGCATGATAAGTGCAAGCTATAACAACCATCACCACCACCACCACCATCATCATCATTACCACCAATATACCAATCTGGTATGTGTTGAAAACACGTTTAAGACTGTGGTTATGATGAACATAGAATGAAGTTTAATAAGCAGCACTAGGACCCTCCCACATCATGACTTTCTATATAGCCAGTAACAACAAGCCTCTGTATCTATAAAACTTTGTGCTTCAACCCATTTCTATCCAGGGCCTCCCTTACCTAAGTGCAATGTGAGAAAAAGATTCCAATCCTCAAATAAGCATGCCTAGCAGCACAGAGAAGGGCAATGGTTATAATGGTGGTAGTGGTTGTTAAGTGCTGTTTAGTTAGTTCTAACTCATAGTGACCCTGTATAGTGTTTCCGAGGAACTTCTGGTGAATTTGAACTGTCGACCTTGAGGTTCAAACTGACCTGTGGACCAGTGCTTATCCTGTAGCTCCACACCACACCATGGGGTTAGTGGTGAAGTACCATAGAGTCGGTTCAGACTCATGGTAATTCTGTATAAGGTTTCTGAAGCTGTAAATCTTTATGGGAACAGAAAGCCTTATGTTTCTCCCACGGAATAGCTAGTGGATTCGAACTGATGACCCTGCGATTAGCAACCCAACTGATTGCTCTTATGATTGTAATACAAATGCTATGTGGAAGGGAAAACTCAGTGGCTAACCATCATCAGAAGCCCCAAGCATATGGATTAGATTAGAAGAGCAGACTGCATGAGCACTGTCTGGCCTAGGTGAACCTCCTACTGTGGGGAATTGTAGGTTATATAAGCCAGCATAAGGACACTAGAAGGGGTGAGGAGAAATAGAAAGGGGTCTGGTTAGGAGAACCTGAAACTGAATACAAATCACCAATTTGATAATTGTGTGGTAGCCTTCTCACTTCCATTTCAGATTATCAGTGCCAGGGGAAGCAATTCCAATTTTACAGGTAAAGAAAATGAAAACACAAACAGGTTTGGTGACTCACTGCTGGTTCAATTTTTACTTCCTTTGCACTGTGTTGTTTTTAATAAACAGGACTGAAAAATTAGATTTCATTTTTTACATTCACATAGCTCTACTCTGTCTTGGGAACAGCTCACAAACTCTCCAATGCAGCCCTGAAATACCAAAATGCCTAATGGACTCATCCCTAAGTTTCCCAACAACTCACTGAATATAATCAGCCGGATTGATCAACCCTGTGGCTGTTTTACTGCCCACACTGAATCATCTTTTATTTTAGTTTTAACTGAATTAATTTTCAGTGATTTTTTAAAAAAATCTATTCAGATTGCTGGAGTTCAACAAGTTAAAACAGGTATTCTTATCCCATGGATTTTTCCTCAACCATGGTTTCCCTGTGTGCTCCTGATTAGCTTTCTGCTCCTGCTGATTGACAGGTATGATGTCTATTTCTAAACCCTATTTAGGTGGCTTGTCCTAGCCCGGAGGCTCTCTACCTGACCTGAAAGGGCCTTGTCTAATCTGAGATAAACACACTGCCCTGTGTGTGAGTTCAGAGCTGGAACATTTCAGACTACTGTGAAGGATCTAATGAATGGAGCTACTCATTCTCTACCTCTACCTTAGTTCCTGGGACAGAGTAGCTGTCTAAAATTTGGCATGCCTGGGGCATCTTGCTCCATCAGTAAGACAAGTATCTGTGTTGCAGACAACATGGAAATATCCCTGCACAGCTTTGAGATTTTCAGGCATTTTCTGCTTAGAGACAAAACAACATAGAAAATTAAGGGTGATGAAGCATAGAAATCATCTGTTCTTTACTCATCTTCTACAACCTTTGATGGGAAAAATGAGAATTGACAGGGTAGAAGAAGGTGGAATCAGGGGCTTGCAACCTCACAATAAATCGTTATCTGAACCCTCAGACTAATAGATAGGATTTTGGTTATCCTGTAGCAAATCCAAAGTGCATCAAACCTAAAACCTATCTGATGTAATACCAAAGTTCTTTCCTATATAACAATGGTACCTAAAGAATTAGACCAGATTTTCATCACATGTGTTAGATCTACACAAACTTTACCAAAATGGAGTCTATGACAGTTACCAACTATGGGCAAAACACCAATTCTTCCTTCTTCCCTCTTGTACCTAGTACACTGCAGTCTACACTTAGGATACTTTAGCAATTGAAATACAGCAACTCTTGGTCCCACTCTCTTCTTGTCCCAATTCTAGGAAAAAGCTCAAAAGAAATCCAACCAGCAATCTCTTACTGGGTTTGAGAGTTGTTCTTTTGTAAAATTGAAATGATACACATTCTATCTGGCTTCATTTCCAATGGAATAACAATGAAAGTGGTACACTGTTTAAATTTCAGTTCCTAAATAGCAATGTTCTAGCAACTTGATTCTTTAATCTTGGAATAAATTAGCCCTGCATATCATATAAAAATTTCACTCTGGAATATATTTTCCTGATAATTGACTTATCTTGTAGACATTATGACTACCAATGTACATCAAAAAGCATACAGGTCTTTCAGAAGATCCAGTGGACATGCATGGCTGCGATGGTAGAGAAGCCCACAATGTCACTGAAGTACAAAGTGACCAAGTCAAAGCTCTCAGGTTCTATTGTTTTGAGTGATACAGCAACTGATCTGAACAGCAAACAGGTATTTCTCAGAGAACTTGTGCTTCCCTCCATACCACACATGCCTTTTAGAAGACGATAACCCCCCAAAACCACTGCCAAGGAATCAAATGCCTCCTGAAGGAAAGCATTAATTTATTCATTTATCTTGCAAATATGTATTGAGAGCCTACAGTGTATCTGATACTGTGTCAGGTACTGGAAGATAGCACTAACAAGACACAGTCCAGGTCTTCATGGAGTTTTTCCAGCACCTCGGCCCCCTGGGGAATGATCCCAGGTGGTTGTCTTTTCATGAGACTAGTTTCCCCAATTGTCACCTAGAAGATCATGTTATAACATGATAATATGCCCTGGAAAATTGGAAAATTGTAGCAACAGGCAAGGTTTTCAACTAAGTGGGGGGGATAGGGGGCCTGGAAAAATAACCCTGCTACTTCCCTCTAGGAGCTCAAAGAACTACTTTTTTTTAATTGGTCAACCTCCCAGCCAAGTCATGAAGTGGCATGTACAAAAACCAAGGCACCAAAAAACTTAAATGACCAGCATGATCCACAGGTAGTGGAAAATTAGGATGTGTGCTTGGCTCCCTTGGTTTCCAATTCTTCTTTGATTTGAAGGTGTGACTCAAACCTACTGGGGGTAGAGAGGGTACTGGACAGGGGGAGGGAGTAGTTAGTTGATGGGTATTTTTTTTTTCTTTTTTTAATAGAAGACACTGTTATAAGGATTCACACTCCTCAGGTGTTCACACATACGGTGGTAGCATCTGTGATAGAAGCTTCTCTGTTTTCTGTTTTTCAATTTCCAGCTCCTCAGTCCACTCCTGGATCAAATCGTCCAAGTTGCTAGAATATTGCTCCAACATTCGAAGCATACAGTCAATGATATTGGTCTTCTTCCCTTTATTAAAGGTTTTTAACTAGAAGTAATGAAGAAAGAACTTAAGGGACTGCTTACTATCCAAACTCAGAGATGATGGAGCAGGGCTCCCATTTTATAAATCCTTTCTTCTAAAATGACAGGGGAAAAGAGTTGAATCATCTCTAAATAGGAAAAATGGTAGTTCAGGATAATGCACAGGACCTCACGGTCAATTTGAAACACAACGCAGTGGTTCAAACCCACCAGCCGCTCCTTGTAAACCCTACACAGGGTTGCTGTGAGTCAGAACCAACTTGACGGTAATTGACAACAACAACACCTTCATTGTCACTCTGGCCCATTCCTGAGGCTCTTCTACCATGTGTAGTCTTCACCTAGTCTTTTTATTTTTATTGTGAATTGAGTGAAGGTTTATAGAAAAGATCATCATACACTTTGTTTTATCTCAATGGCAATCCCTTCCGTGTAACAACAGTGATCCTGCTTCCTCCCTGTGGTTTCTATTTCCATTCCACTCACCTTCCCATCCCTTCTCGATTTTGCCCCTAGGTAAATGTTGTTCTTTTGATTTTGAATTATTTACTTATAATGTGATCTTCTAGGTGACTATTGGCGAGACTAGTCTCATGAAAAGACAACCACCTGGGATCATTCCCCAGGGGGCCGAGGTGCTGGAAAAACTCCATGAAGACCTGGACTGTGTCTTGTTAGTGCTATCTTCCAGTACCTGAAACTGTATCAGATTCACCATTCATAGTGAGCACGCCTTACTAGTGTTGTCCCCCCTATACAACTATCTAGTGCTTGGCTGAAAGTTGGACCATGAGGGTGAGTTCCTTTCCAGACCTGAAGGGAGGTTGAGGGACAGAGTCCCAGGTTCCTCCAGTCTCTTTCTAACTAGTAAGTGCAGTTTGTATGTTTAATCATTTTGAGTTTTGTTCTGCCACTCTGTCTGGGACCTTTTAATGTAATTAATCCTGTTCAGAGAAGTTTGTAGTGGTACCATCCAGTTCTTCTGGTCTCAGAGTCATGAAGACAGATATTCACATGCTACATTAGTCAGTTGGACTAATTGATTCAAAGCCTCTTCAATTCTTATCACTCTTTTTTCTTATGCACATGGAAAGACCAATAGCTGCACCTTAGCTGCTAATGAGCTTTTAAGATCCCAGACACTACTTACCAGAGTGGTGGTGTCTGTGTGCTGTGGAGTTGGTTCCGACTCATAGCAACCCTGTACAGGGTTTCCGAGGCTGTAAATCTTTACAGGAGCAGAAAGCTTCATCATTCTCCCGCAGAACAGCTGGTAGTTTCGAACCACCGACCTTAAGGTTCGAAGCCCAATTTGTAACCACTATGCTACCAGAGCTCCTTCACTTATCAAAGTAGTATGTAGAATATTGTCTTTGTGGATTATAGTTTGCCAATTGACCATGTTGTCCTCTGAGACTATGGCTCTGTGTCCCCAGGCCCTGCAACTCATTACCATAAAATGTTTGATGATATTTAAGAAGTTTTCATCCTTTTGTCCACTGTGTGCTTCACGACATTCATAGTTGTGTTTGCAGTTCAAATATCTCTTTCAACTCCTATATATATATATATCTATGGGAGAAATGTATATATTGTGGAGAAAGAGTATTCCGGAACACTTAATTGTGTTCATGAGAAACCTGTACATAGGCCAAGAGCCAGTCATTCGAAAAAAACAAGGGAACACTGAAAGGTTTAAAATTAGGAAAAGGGTGCACCAGGGTTGTATTCTTTCACTATACTTATTCAATCTGTACACTGAGCAAATAATTTGAGAAGCTGGATTATATGAAGAAGAATGTGGCATCAGGACTGGAGGAAGACTCATTAACAACCTACAATATGCAGATGATACGATCTTGTTTGCTTCAAGTGAAGAGGATGTAAGATATTTACTAATAAAGATCAAGACCACAGTCTTCGGTATGAATTGCACCTTAATGTAAAGAAAACATCCTCACCACTGGACCAATAAACAATGTCCATATAAATGTAGAAAAGACTGAAGTTGTCAAATTCTTCATTTTGCTCATATCCACCATCAACACTCATAGAAGCAGCAGTCAAGAAATTAAGTGACATATTGCTATTGCTTTAGGCAAATTTGCTGCACAACGCCTCTTTAAAGTGTTAAAGAGCAAAGATGTCAGAGGACTAAGGTATACCTGACCCAAGCCATGGGTCAATATTTTTGGTAACCTCATAGGCAAGTGAAAGTTGGACAGTGAATAAGGAAGACCATAGAATTGATGCATTTGAGTTATGGTGTTAGAGGAGAATATTAAAAGTGTCACGGACTGCCAAAACAACAAACCAATCTGTGTTGGAAGAAGTATAACCAGAATGCTCCTTGGAAGCCAGGATGTCCAGACTTTGTCTTTCCTACTCTGAACATATTGTCAGCAGGGACCATTCTCTGGAGAAGGATATCATGTTTGGTAAAGTGAAGGGTCAGGGAGAAAGAAAAAGACCCCCAACAAGATAGACTGGAGCAGTGCCAGCAGCAATAAACTCCAACGTAGCAATGATTGTGAGGTTGGTGCAGGGCTGGGCAGTGTTTTATTCTGTTGTATATATATATATATATATAAGAGTCCTGGTACAGGATAAGCACTCGACCTCAAGGTCAGTTTGTACCTCAAGTTCAGAGGTTCAAACTCACTAGCCACTCCTCGTAAACTCTAGATAAGGTCGCTATGAGTTGGAACCAACTTGACAGCACTTAACATTATATATATCCCACTCTTCCTTCCATACCCATTCAGGCTGTGTTTCTAAGTATCTACCCCCAAAACATTGTTGTTACAAGTTTTTGCATATGTAACTATTTACCTCTATTCCCTGTGTCTTCACCTGTCTTCATCATTCTTATGCCAACCTCCCTCTTCTTGTATATTGCCCACTCCTTCGTGTATATTGCCTTGCCTGTCAACCAAGTTAACATGTCTACCCTCTAGCCAAGAGTCCTGGTATGACACTATAGGATAAGCATTGGACTGCAAGGTCACTTTGAATTTCAAGGTCAGCTGTTTAAACTCATCAGTTGCTCCAAGTAAACCCTATACAGGGTCACTATGAGTCAGAACCAACTCGATGGCCCTTAACAACAACACAACAACCCTCTAGTTAGTAAATTACTCTCCATTCTCCATAAAAGAGTGTTTCTTTTGGTATGAAAACCTTTTCTTGAGTGTTTACAATAGTCTCATATAATATTTGTCTTTTTGTGATTGATGTATTTCACTCAGCATAATGTCTGCCAGGTTCATGCATGTTGTGAGGTATTTCACAGATTCATCGCTGTTCTTCAATGTTGCCTAGTATGCCAATGTATGCATGTACCATATTTGGTTTATTCATTTATCTTATGGTAGACATTTAAAGTTGCTTCCACTTTTTTGCTATTTTGAATAGTGTTGCAATGAACATTGGTGTGCACAGATCTACTCGCATCCTGGCACTTATTTCTTGTGCATATATAACAAGTAGAGGGATTGCTGTGTCGTATGGTATTTCTAATTCCAACTTTCTGAAGAAGTGCCATACCATTTTCCACAGTGGTTGAACCATCTTAGTCCCACCAGAAATGTAGGAGGGTCCCAATCTCTCCACATCCTCACAAGCATTTGTTGTTTTCTGTTTCTAGTTTAATTTGGCTGGGAATGCTGGTATCAGATGATATTTCACTGTTTTTTTGTTTTGTTTTATTGTGAATTATGTCGTAGTTTACATGGGAGAACAATATCTTTACATTCATGCTATCATATTTTGTTTCATTGCAATGATTACAATCCCCTGCGTGCATCACCAAACAACCAAATGGCACACCCTGCATGCTTGCCCCGGCCACCAGCACACAGCCCCTCTCCTTCCCTGAATCCAGAGTCACCAGCCACTCATTCTCTCCACGTCATTGTCTCTGCCTCCATCCCTGGCATCACTGCTTCCCTGGACAGGGTCCCAGAATTCGCTTTTGTCCCTTGATGGGTCCAGGGATTTCCGCTCCTGGACTGCAAAATCAACCACTCAATTCTTTTTATTACAAAATGTCTAACTTTACCTTTCTAACACTCGCTGTCAGTCCTGATAGCAATCATTCCCTATTGAACCACAGGAGTCTTATCACAGTCACCTTTTATCTGTCCATCCAGACAGGTTTAAAACAACTCAGTGGAGATTCTACCTTTCCCATTACCCTCTGGAACTAGGTTCCCTAATGGAAGCTTGTAAGCCAGTCATTTTTGCCTTTTTAGGCCTCCCCCCGCCATTTTGGGTAGGCAATGTCTAAGTTCCCCATCCTTGTCAACCCTGTGTACCAAGGGGGGAGGGGAATGATCCTCACTGTAAAGATTTGTTCACTCCTTTGCCATACTGCACCCACAAGCATAGGTCAAGTTCATTTAATTGTAGTGGATTACTCTTTTTTCCTCTTCTTTCTTCCTCTAGTCATGTTCTGATTGTCCAACCGTTGATGCCAGGTCAAATGGGTACTATCTGCAAGTGTGGGTGTCCTTGTGCATCTCCCCTCACTTCCTATCAGTTGGACACTTCATACTCTGCTCTTGTCCTCTGGGGCCATGTCCCTGCCAGGCCAACCAGGTCTCAATCCAGGTTAACAGGAGTCTTATTGAATGTGGTCAGACATAGTTCACAACTTCATTGCTGTTTTTCCCCCACTTCCCCTTATCAGTGACCAACATGGTCAGCAGCAAGACCACATGCCTGCTCATGAATTTACCTTGAGTTTTTGTCTTGGAAGGGGGTTTGCCTTGACAGGACCTGACCACTTGCCTTGATGGCTCCCAGGGGAACAACTTGCTTGTTATTGTAGTAGTCTGTTATTGTTTTTTATTTTTCCTGCTGGTCTTTCTTTCAAGAAGTATCTTCCTTTCCTCTAGCTGCTCCAGGCTGGTCTACTTGTCCTTTCAAGTGGAAATTTCCCACCTCAGAAGACTCTGGATGGGGATCAGGATTCCACCTAAGGTCTTGTGCAATGCAAAGGCT